GGTTGCGATCTAAAACTAAAACCAGTTTTAGATGGTTTATTTGCATCACAAATTTTTTTTTAATTTTGTTTCTTTCATATATAGGTATTGAAAACCGTGGTAGATCGATACAACGTAATTTGAATACTCGATCACTTTAATATGGTACTCACGAGGATCCACCTCTGGAGTGGATTAATAGAATAAATAGGGATAGAAGAGGACATAAGAGATATTTTCTATTACCTCGATAATGGTACGGGACATGAAGACACTACTCATCTCTATACCCATTTCTATATTGATAATACATGAGTTGAGACACTGGGTCCATACATTAGGCTGGTCAAGCATTTGTCTGATTCAAATCAGATTTGGTTGAATCTTAATTATTGATTAGTTTTAATAATAATTTTGTTATTTTTTCTAAAATAGAATGAATTGATTGAAAAAATATAAAGAACTTACAAGTTCTTGTTCCAAATGGGGATTTTTCATCCCGCTAAATCGACATTCTTAGTCTTATAATTTTCATTACACTTTAAGACTGTAGAACAATATAATTTAGATTTACTCTTGAAAGAATCACAATCGATCATTACATCTCTCAAAAGCCACCGATTACGGTAGAAGCATATACTGCATATGCAGTGAAATAAAAAAAAAAGTTCAATTCCATATGTTCATTTTTACAACCACTAAGCAATTTGAGGATAGCAGAACGCTTTCAGAAGCTGAACACCCAACTGCAACCAATCTTCAGTCAAAAAGCTTGAGTCGCACTGTATATTTGCTGAAATCAATACCTGCAGACCGGATCACAAGTTACTAATCTCAGGATAAACAACTTAAAAAGATAACATGAGCCTCTCTTGATCTCTTATAATTCTCAAAATTATATTGTGATCACATGTACGGGAAATATAAAAACTATTACAGACAAAGCATAATACTGAGCTAACATGCCTACTCAGGAACAGTCAGATATTCACAAAACTCATCCTCTCTTGGGCTCTAATTCATCTGCGTGCTACAACAAATGTACTTGTCATACTAAAGCCAAAGCATCAACGTTACTACCGGTACTAGATCTCATTGTTTTGAGTTGTCATAATCTATAAGCAAACTTTCATTATACCCTGATACATTTTTCATAGATGAGGATATTGTTTACCTCATGACATACTTCATCAACTAGTTACACAACGCGTGAAAGCAACTAAATTTAAAAGCTTTCTCGGAGTCTCTGGAACCAATTTGTTCAAAAATGGTCTTTGAACATACACAAATAAGATGAATGATATTCTTACTTGAGCACAATGTACCAAATTTAGCAGCCTATATCTTTAGCATAACATTTGGACTAGTATGGACAATAAATGTAGTGGTGACATACACCAGTAAATCCTTGTTGGCAAAGAGTGAAAGGTTACAAAACCAAAATTTTTAATGAACTATATATGATTATCCTAGTATGTCAATCATTAAAAGAAATCAGTATCTGATAGTATTATGATTTGTGATCCCTTTGCTCAGGTAAAATGAGTTCTTGCTATCAAATAGGATTTAATTTGTTCCAATTTGAGCCTGTGCCACATAATAGAACCATTTTTAGTCATGCCAAGCTCTCTCTTCAATGGATGAAATCCATCACAATCTGAGATGATGGGAGAACTAACTCATTAATTTGAAGAGTCTAAGACCATATGGTCCAAAATGCATAAACTTAACTAATAGTAATAAGATCATTGAGCCTTATATATCACCATAATAGTTCTACCAGAAGTGGGATATTTAGCATATTCCAGTCTCCCACATCTAAAAAGTTGGTGTTCTCATCAAGGACTAGAACCAACACAGCCTATCCAATGTCCTACCAGATGACATCTGAAGTCCAACCAAGTGACGGCGGCACACGTATTGCATCTTCAACCACGTCCAAAGTTATTTCCTACCTAAGCTCCAAGTCCTCTCCATGCTTATTATTAATACCATGCTTAGCTCATTCCTACTTGGGTCCATCTAACCTTCTATATAGTCATAACCATTCTTCCATTTTTAAAGTGGGACTATTTCGAGTGTCAGAGTCTCTCGTATATTATGTGAATAATGCATGGTAGTAAGTCAAAAAGTACTAATCAGTAAAAGTTCCTAAATTTGTTTGAGATACAACTGCCGTCAAACAGTGATACCTTTTTGAAGCCAAGTCTATGGTTATGAACAATGTTCCCAGAATGCTCATCTACTACCAAGACAAGCTTTACCAAATAGTCTCAATGTAAAATAAAAAAACTACTATTCCTTAGCTCTTATAATTATTATTGCCATTTAATTGTGACATATTCTGGAAAAACAAAGTACTTGATAAGTGAGTATTTGCAACAAGCCAGAATAATAAAATTACAAGCAATCACTATTCTGCAGGCAGCATATCCATAACAATTATGAAAAACCATGATACATGCCTGAAACTTACTAGTTCAAGGAGGAACGATTGAAATTGAAGAGTCGGATAGACATTTGAACTGCAACCACAGCATAGGCAATGCACCAGATGGCTACGGAAAATAATAACCTTAGAAAAGCAGAGTCCGTCATCTCAGCTGCTGATTCAAAGGCATCAGAATATGACCAAGGCAACTGCAGAAAACAACTCCAGTTATTGCAATACTCAGCATCTCATATGTTACTCAGAATATTTTATTTTTTTTCATATTATGAAATATACATAGATTCTTGCAACATATAATTAGGCAATCTAACACTAAATTCCAATCAGGACATCATTTATTAATACCAATTAACCCCTCAACAATAAGATACCACAACAAAATTTGACATACTCTATTTTGATCATCAAAGTGCATACAAAGTACAAACAACACATCAGACTTCTAATGCCGACATAAATGATCCTCATCATGTCATCCTCGATCCTCCAAAACATGCTAGAAATACTTGTCAACAAATATCTCATCTTCCAGAAAATTACAAATACTCACTTTATGAACCTGACAAAAGGAGTTCAATTTCTTTGTCCCAATAACAGATATAAATACTTCTTCATAAGAATAATGATGCCAGGCATAACTGAATGAAAATTTTCAATTGTTGAACCATAAATAAACCTTAAATTTCTAGAAGTATCACATGCAGGGCATTATCGAAGCTGTCTCGTGACTCGATTAAGGTAGTTTAATGAAAAGTAACCTGGTGTTACTAATGAACTCCCTGTTTGATATTGCTTATAAAGCAGATCTGTTAGATGTCATATATGTAATGGCTTGATATGATAGAATATCCTTCCTTCTTCCTAAGCAAAGTTCAATTTCCAAGAAAATTTATTTTTAATTCATCATCATAAATCCTAGTGAGATCACTAACCGGATATATTTCTGCCTTATGAAGAAAACTCTCAGGTACTAACACCTCTTGAAACCTGAACACAACCCTACATGCTTCCCTAGGTAGAAGCATTTGGGATGATGGCCAAATTGCAGGCCTTATATTCCTTCACTGCTCATATCCTTGAAGCAAGCCTAAAGAGCTAAAGAGCTGAGAGCAAAAACTCCTAATGTGGATAAAAGGTTACTATTCAACTTTTACACTTATAATCAGCCACATACTCTATTAGTAATATAAGTGCTTCAAGGTTACAAGTTACAGCAAGCTCTTCCTGACATCATGCTTAAAGACATGGCTCATGAAAAATTAGAGCATAATATACGACATCACAATCGTATCATAAGCCAGCAAAACAGATACTGACGGATATGAGTCATTCAGAAAACGTAACAAAGTGTGACCAAATCACAGATACAATTAAGAGTAGGAGAAAACAACTAGGTCTAATGCTGAGGCAATTGATCAGGACACTCTGAGAAATGAAACTCAATGTAACAGTGAGTATAATTCTAACAAATCATATCACCCCAATCGCAATAAACTCCAATTTGTCAATGCAAACGCAAGTCCCGGAATCTCAGGTACACTTCCTCAAGGAACAAAATTAAAAAAAAAATGCGGAAAACCTAATTTATTCACAGGGTCTCAACCTACCATCTCAAGATCGACACTCGTGGAAAACCCTACTCCGATTTATTCTATAATGCCAAATTTAACAACAGGGACCAAGTCATGCAATCATCATTCAGATAGCATCAAGATCGTGGGATCAAAGTTGGCAGTTTGCGACTAACAAGAAACCAGAAGAACTTCAAGATCATGAAGAAGACTCACCAATAACAAGGGAGAGATCGGAACGCGAAGAGCGACGGCGGACTCGTCGCGCTCCAAACGAAGAAAAGGCCGGGAATGCGCGACCAGGAGTCGGTCGCTGATCACGGCCGGCAAAAGGGAAAGCTAAGTTGGCTTTGAGCGGGAGACCGCAGACGGGGCAAGTGGAGACGACTTTGATGCGGGGAAAGGGGATGTTTCGACACGGGAGAAGGAATTACTCCACGACTATGCCGGTTAACCGTTTCTTCTTTTATTTATTTATTTATTTATTTATTTATTAATTAATTAATTTATTATTATTAAATGTTCAATTATAACTGTCCAATTATTATTATTATTATTATTATTATTATTATTATTATTATTATTATTATTATTATTATTATTATTATTATTATTATTAAATGCATGAATAATTGAGGTTTTGATTTATTTTTTATTTTTATAATTTATATACTAAATGTTCATATGTTTACATTAATAATTATGTATGGACATCAATTCATAAATTATGGAATAATATTACAACCTATATAATTAATTATATCATCAAACCAATATGGTAAGATCGAATAAATCTATTCCGTTTTTCGGGTGACGTTATTTTTGAAAGAGAAAACAAGTGTTTTTTTAAGACGCCAAAGCGATGAATGGACAAAGAAAATTTTCTCTTGAGGATAAAAAAATATCCGACAAATCCCTCTAAATTGATTTTAATTTTGTTAGTTATGGATTTTAAAAGAATGAAGGAGAATATTTAATTTCAAATATGACTTTTAGGCTTAGGAAATTGCAGAAGAAGCTCACCAAGAAGATCGCTAGCTAATTTATGCCAACTTTTTTTTTTCTTTGAACGATTTTATTCAATCTAGAATTATAATATAATTATAATATTTTTATCATTATCAGTTTATAATAAGAACAATATATCTTCTCGATAACACAAGCTTCAAGAAAGGAATAAATCAACTAATTTATTATGTTTCATCGATTTAATTTTATATTAAAGAAATTAATTTGGTTGCACATGGGATATTGCATGTGAGATTGTTAGGACCTATGTCATTTGTAAGTTTTGTGACAATCAATTTGACAATTCATCTATATAAGCATCGATTTAGTATCATGTCAAACCCTAAATCCACTCATCCTAATATTTACGTCAGGACTCATCTGTTAGGAAAGGGGTCGATACTAAGAGGGGTGGTGAATTAGTCGATAGGTAAAAACGTTAGCTCTGAAAATATTTCGTATGATTAAAACCGATCTCGGAAAGATGCTTAAATTGAAGGCATGTTCGTAAACGTATTGAAGACAGTTTGTAGTTAATGTAAATTACAATAAGTAAATGCAAACCGGATTGTATAGTGGTTCGGTCGTCATGACCTACATCCACTCCGTCGATTCCTCTTCCGTCGAGGCCACCGGCATCCACTATCGGTCTTCCTTCTCCTTTTACCAGGTTTAGGAGATAACCCTTACACCCCCACTTACTCATCTTTCAAACTATTCTAATACTTAGAACTTTTAAAAGGAGTTCACACAAGCAGTAGTATTTCTTTCTATTTTTACTCTCAAGTCTTATGTATTGGGCGGTACCACCACCAGTGTCAATCTGACACTAACACTGTGTTGGGCGGTACCACCACCACCACCGCCAGTGTCAATCTGACACTAACACTGTGTTGGGCGGTACCACCACCCAGTCTAACGATACCACCACCCAAACTAGTGATACGACCACCTATATCGACGTTACCACCGCCTGACACAGTCTTGGAGATTGTGCCACGACGGTGCCACCTCTTGGGTCATTGTTTGGGCCTTTCATTGGGCCTAACAAAATCCTTATATGGGCCCAACTGACCCATAATTAGGTTGGCTCAAATCCAAACCCAATTACGTGCCAACCATGATTCCTAAGACATATTCTAAGCTAAATAAGTCAGTAAGTCTAGTTTCTTTCGGTGAGCTTCCGGCAATCTTCCGGTGAACTTCCGACGATCTCTCGGTAATGTTCCAATGGACTCTCGGCAAGCTCCTGGACTTCATGACGATCTTCTTGGTGAGTTCCGACGAGCTTCTTTGGTAAGCTCATGGACTTCTCGATTGGTTCCTACAGAACTTCCGACGAATGTCTGGACTTCCGACGAATTCTCGAACTCTCAACGAAATCGCTTCCTTGACTCTTGGACTTTATTTTGCTTTATGCCTTACTATCGTAGTTAATCATGCACATGTAAAAACATACTTCGATCTAAACAATTATTACTAAGCATTAATCATGTTGTCCGGCATGTCATTGGTCCATCGACGCTTCGTTTGATTCTTCGGCGTACCGTCCTCTCTTGTGGCATATTGTCCAATCGGTCAGTTGACTCCGCAACTCTGATATCCTTGGCGTAATATCCATTCTTCTTGGCCCAATGCTCGAAGCCTTCTGTCGATATGTCAACCGATCCACCGGCTCGACGTCCAATCTTCTGATATGTTTTCCCCTAGCCCAACATGACTTTTCCTATTTTAATTATATCTTCCTGATCGAGGCATCCTGCATCACTCAAAACAACGTAAATTAAATCATAAACACTTTTCAATTAGTTTCATATAAAAAGATATCAAGTATATTTCTAAAAATTATTAAATATATTCAAGTTTATTATACTTTCTTACCTCTTAAATCCTGACTCCACTAATTTAACCATAGAATGGGTCTTTATCAAGCCATCGATTCAATTTTGCATAAACACCCCTAAAATCTCATAGTTTCTCGACACCTTGTGGTGAGCTCAAGGACCTAAATGAGATCCAAACTCCTAATATGTCAGATAATTTAAATATGAAATAATAAATTGATGTTAGAAGAACCAAATGAGCATTCCACTGACAGTATAAAGTGTATTATGCCACGGAATTACCTCTCTAAGGGAGCAACTCTTTGAAATTCACTAGTGAAACGAAGATGTAAGGTGAGAAATAAAAAAAGAGAAAGAACCCACACGTCTGAATCTTATGTGTGGTCCTCATTTACACAAAACATTAATGATGAGTCAATTCCTAAGGGGTTTCACTAAACTTTTGATGGAAGTATGGACTTGACAAAGCATATCACTACTTTTGCAGCTTTGTACGCAATAACTAATGTGCTTATGTGTAGATCTTTCCTAATAACACTACACAATGCAGCTTGAAACTATTACACACACCTTTCTCTAAACCTAGTTAGCTCTTTCGATTAGTTTGCTATGGAGTTCGAGCTAAGAGGTATATAACCTCCCTACTTATGGTTTGACAAGAAAAGATGAATCTCTATCAGACTACTTGATAAGATTCGACTAACACCCATCGATCCGTATCTCACTTCTTTTTGTCGATTGCCAAAAAGCCTTTGATCACCTTTCGAGAATTATTATAAAAGGTCAATCATTCTATTATAGTTGAATCTCTCATTACAAGAAAAAAGAAATTAGAAGGAAATAAGCTAGCTAAAGAAGAATATTTACCTCTAACCCCTAAAGACCTATTGCTCATATCATCACTCTCACGGGCCTTATAAGTAACTCAATTATGAATATTTACTCAAAATATTTATAGTGGTAAACATCCCTCCAACCTATAAGACCATCATTAGAAGTCAATAATCAAATCAATAATCATTCCATTATTGTATGTCAACTATCCGTGGCATTTTAGAAATTAACTCGTAGTTTCGTTCCGACATCCAAATGCCCTCGTGGAACGTCAGAATTACCGCGACGGACCGACAGGGTGTGAACAGGGCGTGACGGGATCCGTTACATCGATAGGAAACGTTATTTAATGGCACATGTAACAAACACTATCCAGCTCAAAGCAGCAGTTGAAGAGCGAACATAGCTGTGCCACGTGACATTTTGATTCGATTAGCCCTTTGACGGACATAATTAGATCGCGTACACACAGTTGCTAACGGTTGCTCGCCATAGAAACCGGTCGAGGAGGTGCAACTGTCGGCACAACAAAGGGGCCCACCAAATGTATAATATGACTCAGCTCACATGTTGGAGTCAGAAAGCAAAATAAAAATAAAAATTTATATTTATATTCGAAGGTCTTTTACTACGAGATTAAGACGATGATTAAGACTAAAACAGCCAAATCACGTGGACCGAAGCGGGGCAGCGAAGCTGTCATTCGGGGAAAGAAGGGAACTCGCACGTGGTTGACACGCGGAGCAAAAAGACGATTACGGGTATCGGATCCCAGTCCCACCCGAGAAGCAACGATGGAAGATAAGTTTACATGACATGTGTACTGTGGCAATAAGAGGAAGCTCTCCGAATCTATATAAAGAGGAGTGGGGTGAAGAAGAAACAAAGGAGAAGCCCTGTAAGGGTATATGCAATGGCTTCTTGCTTCTTCTCTCCCTTCTCCTTTTATTACTCCTTTCTTCTCTTGTCCGTGTTTGCCTTGTTCTGTTTCGATACCAGCGAACCACACCCCGTCGTCGACCCGCATTGGCACCCGGCGACCGCGACCTGGTACGGCAGCCCCAACGGCGACGGCAGCGACGGTGAGTAAGGTGTGGCCAGTAAAGTGTTACGTACAATGTGAATTGGTTGAGCGTTCCGTGGTTGGCAGGTGGGGCGTGCGGGTACGGGTCGCTGGTGGACGTGCGGCCGCTGCGGGCGCGGGTGGGGGCGGTGAGCCCCGTGTTGTTCAAGGGCGGGGAGGGGTGCGGCGCCTGCTACAAGGTGCGCTGCCTGGACCCGGTCGTCTGCGCCCGCCGTCCCGTCACCGTCATCGTCACCGATGAGTGCCCCGGCGGGTACTGCGCCTTCGGCCGCACCCACTTCGACCTCAGCGGCGCCGCGTTCGGCCGCATGGCCGTCCCCGGCAAGGCCAGCCGGCTACGTGATCGTGGCGAGATGCCCGTCGTGTTCCGCAGGTAACTAAAGATCGAAAGGTTGACTGCGAGAACGGTAAAAGCTTCGTGTACTTCTTCCTGCAATCAATGATCATAGTAGTTGTGAGCACTGAACATAGTCAGATCAAACATTTACCTTCAGAAGTATCTTTTCAGGACTCCATGCAAATACCCAGGTAAGAGTATCGCTTTTCATGTAAATGAAGGTTCCACAAACTTTTGGCTGTCACTTCTTGTGGAGTTTGAGGACGATGATGGAGACATCGGATCCATGCATATAAAACAAGTACGTTTTTCTTACCTTACCGCTTTCTACTGCTGTTATCTCTCCATGGCATATGATCAGAATCATGTAGTACCATCTACTAGGTGTTTATAGACAGAACTGTTAGATGAAAGCTTATATTATGCTATATATGCTGCACATTTTGCAACCTATTTGGATTGCTATAAACATCATTTACGCTAACAATAATGGCTGGACATATGTCCAGTGTCTGCTTGCTGTCGACTGCCACAAGTCAAGTCTGCCTATCTATCTACTATCTACAAAGAAAAGTGCAGTTGTGGCTTCTCCTTTAGCTCAGCAAAATTAAGACTGCTCCTCCTTGAGATGATTACGTTTATTCTACAACTTATAACTAGTGACTTTGTCCAACTACAGATTAAGGTATTGCCTTGTATCAAAGATCTAGATCTTGTAGTGATAAAAGATCATGTGGACTCACATGACAAGCTTGGTCTGTGACTTCATGTGATACCTCAATTACAAGTCATCAAAGCACAAACAAGTCCCACCAGTCATAGTTGAAATATGATAATGGCAAGAATCTCAAAAGAACTGCAACCGATGTGGAATGCGTTGGCTTTGTGGTTGAAAACCTAATGAAGGCACTCAGAGGGAGCACTCAAAGCCAGGATTTGAGATGAAATAGAGCTTTTTTATTCTCCATCCATTTAGAACTCATGCAACCCTCTTAATCCGCACATTTTTGTCAATGAAGAGATCCAGATCGAAGAAGGTCTAAATAGTTCGTTCTCTCTTGCAGGCAAATTCTGTAGAGTGGCTAGAGATGAAGCACATATGGGGAGCAAATTGGTGTATCATTGGGGGGCCTCTGCACGGTCCCTTCTCAGTAAAGCTTGCTACGTTAACCACCCGGAAGACCTTCTCAGCTCGGGATGTGATTCCCAGGAACTGGTCTCCCAAAGCCACCTACACCTCTCGGCTCAACTTACGTTAGGAGAAGTAGTTCTTGTAATGCAAAAGCGACTCGTGTTTGGAGTCCTCTCTCCGAAGGGGAGAGCAGGCGCCTAGTTCGATGAGGATTCCATGACGAGTCCTCTTCTGTAATGGTCTGTCGAATCGAACTCTCTCAATCCGACTCTGAGGAGACATTCGACTTCGCTTGTTAGCGTTCTGAATGTAATACACAAAACTCATCATCTTTTTGGTGAGACAAAAAAGGTTTATGGAAACCAATCATTTCCAAACACTTCCCATGTCGAAGTATCCAGTGATCAACGATAAATCAATAAGAAAAAAGATGTTTGCTTCAAGTTGCAGTTACTTAGAATTGAGCTTTTCAACAGCCTCGAAAGATGCAGGCTCTTATTAATGCCACTAGTACTGAAGCTGGGGAAAGAAATGGTTTCCCAGCTCAGAAGGCTGACAACAACACTGGGTGGTAATTAATTATGTTATTGCAAACAAAATGAGTTGATCTGAAAGAAGAATCAGAATCTGTGAGCGTTTGTAAATAACCCAAACAAGCAGTTGACATGACCTTGATAGCGCAATTATGTCATTATTTTATTCTCATTTTGCAACGTACGTGTTGGCGGTGAGAATGTCTTTGCTTCAGCTTAAACCATGTGGAGCAAGGCACTTTGGAATCAGATACCAACTCGAGAAGGAGATAGTTATCAACTCTAGTTTAACGATGCATACTTTTTTATGTCATTTGAAAAAAAATCTCTGTATCTCTGTTTGATCTGCAAAGATATTGTCTTTAATTTAAGATCGTTATGAATATGGAAGATAACTAGATTATTTTTCTCTATTCCTATCTTGAGTTGAGAGAAAGATTATAATCTCTCAACTGAGATAACTTTTTATAGGCGAGAGCTTCGTAATTAGGAGAGTCCCTCTATCAATGTTATCTCCTAAGGAATATTATTTTAAATAAATTTTTTTTTCTATTGGCCAATATATTTCATAAGAATTTTATTAGTTATATTATATATATCTTATCAATTATAAAAGGCTATAAAATCTAACATAGGTTGCTTTTTACCAAAGCCATTTATTTTCCTGAAAGTTAGAAAATATAGAAGGAATACATGTTGCTTATGGTCTTGTTGGAGCCATAATAATGTCAAAAATATATATGGAATTTAAGTTTCTTCATTTTTCTTTATGGGATGAAATTGTCTTGATAGCAAAAGAAACAAATTACAATCAAATATAAATCAAAAGAGTGAATAAGATTTATGTCATTTGATGTTAATTAATCATATATGAAAAGTGGACTAAGACTTATATTAACTTAGGAGTCTGATGAATATATTATTGAATTGATTTGAGACATGATAAATGACTCTAGGATAAAAGAGTACTCATGATGGGACTTGATGCATGTACTATTAACTTGAATTAAGTATCATAGACATTTCTTGTACATGCTCTTGCAAACCTTGAATATAATCTTTCTATATTTATTGAGGTAAATCATACAAGTCTCCAAAGTTTTTTTCTTACTTCATATCTCTTTCCCATCAAAATCCTAAGATAATATAAAATTTTATAAAATAATAAAATTTAAATTCACAAAGATTTTTTTTCATTATTCTTCATTTTTGCAAAAGAAAAAAGGTGTTCTTCATCTTATCATGAGTTTTCTTGTTTCCATATAAATAAGAAAGAACACCAAATTTAGGAATGCATAAAATGATCAATCTGCCTAAAATATTTTTTTCGGTTCTCAAGTAGGACATTTCAACCAAAATATTGCATCAATAATAATAATAATAATAAATAAATAAATAAATAAATAAATAAATAAATAACAATAACAATAATAATAATAATAATAATAATAATAATAATAACAGTAATAACAATAATAACAATAATAACAATCATAACAATAATAACAATCATAACAACAATAATAACAATAATAATAGTAATAATAATAATAATTAATAATAATGGTGAAGCCTTACATGCACGCATGTGCAAATGTTTGCGGCTGGAATACACCAACACAACGCGGCGCTGACCTCGAGTTAAATACTCCACCGGAACAGTTATACATAACATGGCGGCTAATCAGCACTAGCCACGTAACCCCAAACGTTACCTTGGAGCTACTTCTTAAATGGCATCATCCGGAACACATGACACCTTCACTTGGGGAACGACGCTCCCCGAACGCGTTCCGCATGCTTACCGGCTCGTTTGAGCTGTTATGTGGGACCCACTAGGATTCGTCACGAGTTAAAGACGACAAGATGAGAGACGGGTAGCGGTGTGCAGGGTAGACGCTGTATTGGCTTTTTAATCTTTCGGAGATAAACGATGATTTAATGAACCGGTAAAGACAAAAGCCCCGAGGGAGGCGTGAGTTATCCGCCCGGTTGGTTTACTCTGTCCCATATCGACAGGGAAGAGGAATCATTGGAGCATCTTCTTTCGAGCCCCGCAGCATCTCACATCTCCTCAGCTACGCTTTCTTGTTCTATCATCCACCGACCAAAAGCGCGGATCACATTGAAGCCCTTCTAAGGTTTGGTGTTCCCACCCCTTTTCTTTTGTCCGAGGAAAAAAAAAGGAGATTTTTTTTTGCGCTTTCGGATGGAGATGGTGGTGGAAATGGCGGAGCCGGGTGGGTTTCTTGCTTCCTTTCTCGGCTTAGATGTGGTTCCGGCGACGAAACAGCGAGTTCGATGGGATCCCAAGGTTTGTAATAGCGACCCGCGTGTTATCCTCCAAAATTAAGGTGTTGGTAGGGTTTCTGATCGTGATTCGGGAGGGTTCTTTCTGAACAATTGTGTGCAATTACTTTCCCTAAAATCTTCTGCTATCGAGAGTAATTATAGGGTTTCCGTGTGTCAAATGGCAGGGAATGCAGCTGAAGCACAAGATTAGACCTAGCGTTTTCTGACGCTTCCGAGCTAAATATCGGTATATTTGGTGCCGAGGAAGCGAATTGTTCTTTGACTTGAAGGATTTGGAGATGATAGGAAGAGAATCGAATCTGAGGAAGGAAGCCGCAGTGAACCTGAGTGAAGTGGCGGCAAGCACTCAACTACGGAAGATACGGCAACAGGGGTACGTGTATGTGGAGCTGAGACGTGTCGGGAGGCGCATCAGCTTCTTCTGCATCCTTTGCCTCACCCCATGTTACAGCGAAACGGTGCTGTTTGTTCATCTTGGGGGGAATCTCCATAAACGAAGGCTTGCTGGTGCCAAAGCGACTCTTTTTGGAGCCACACCGTGGCCTTTCGATGATGGTGTTCTTTTCTTTGATACTTCTACTGAGACTGACATGCTGTTACCGGGTTCAGATTATCAAAATGATATGTCTATGGTTGTTAGTGACAGTTCTGGGAACGACGATGAAGTAACTTCGAGGTTTATAGTGAATCCGACCAGTATGCATGATGCTCCCGGTCTTGGTAGGAATTGCAGTGCGCAAAAGGGTAGTGGTAATGGTTCTAATCTCGATGGTTCCCCAGATGCTCAACGTGGATTAATTGTAAAAGGTTGCGGTGCTTCTTCAAGATCTAGCTGTTCTGTCGCAGACGAGGTTACAACTTGCAATTGGGCTGATAATAGTTTGATTATTCCTGGGGTCCTACTTAAGCAGGGAGTTTCAGGTTTGGCTGTGCAACCCTTGGGAGTTGGGCAGATTGCATACAGAGTACAAGAAAACAAGGAATCTCGTGGTAAGATCATTACCAGGATATGGTGTGCCTGGCTGGGACAAGAAGGATCCAACCTTAGTGATGAGTTGAATGTGCCGGTAACTTCACAATATGCTATAGTTAATTTCCCTTATGCATATGGCTTAGGTAGGAAGCCAGCTCCAGGCGATGAAGATCTTCCAATGTCACCTGGTTCTTTCTTTGAAGTTGATGACACTGGGCATTGTAGGGAGAGGAAAAGGAAATTGTCCTCAGATCAGGTTTGAATGGTTCTTGCGAGTCCCCTTCTGGAGTTTGCCCAAGTTTGGACAGCATTGTGGCACAAGATCCCCAACAGCTTGAGACGAGACTTGTATCAAGCAAGGTCGTCGGGCAAGAGCCGAGAATACAGAAACGTCGTCCTGCAGAGAGAACCTGCGACATCTGTAGGCAGCCAATGCTCCCTCGAAAGGATGTGGCTACGCTACTGAATCGTCGTACTGGTAATTTAGCTTGCAGCAGTAGGAACACTACTGGGGTAAGTTATGGATCTGCTATATGTGGCATTGTTCCTTTTGTTTTTTTTTCTGTCTGGGTTTTGATCAGTGACTACAATATACCATGCAGGCTTTTCATCCATTTCATGCTTCATGCCTCATACACTGGATCCTCATATGTGAGTTAGAAATGTTGGCTGACCAGAAACAGAGCACTGAAACGACAGAGGACGCAAGGGAAGATCAACGACTAGAGAACCGAATTTCTTCGGTCTTTTGCCCGGAGTGCCAGGGCACTGGAATATCCATCCAAGGAGAGGAACTTGAAAAACCCACCGTTCCACTTTCTGAGGTTCACTGACATCTATCACCCCTTTCTTTGAACTTTCACGCTTATCAGAGTTTTTCTGTTTGTTATTTAACTAGCATCGTTTGTATCCCATCCATGTTGAATGTCATTCGTCCAGATGCTCCGCTATAAGCTGAAAACCATCGAGGCAACCGAGGCATGGATGAAAAATCCAGAAATGCTCAAGAAATGCTCCACCGGACTTCATTTCCCTTCTGATTGTACTGAAAACTCAGAGGTTAGTACTTGATCTATTTGGATTGGACTAGTCAGGAAATGAAATCTTTTCAGATTAATGAATGCTCTGATTTCATTCATCCCAGGAGAATGTCGTACCTCTAAAGTTGCTGCACTTCTTTCGAGCCCATGAGCAGAGGCAGGCTTAAAGAACACAACACTGAAATGCTGGATTCCAGCCACTGATGGATGACTCAGTTGTCAGATGTAAATATTCACTTCTGTGTCGTACAAATTTTTACATTTGGCTTCTAGAGACGCTTGGGCATGTAGAAAGAGATTAGCGAGTCTTGTATCACATCTTACCTGCAATTTGCTGTGAATGCTATTACCGGATGCTGGTCTTCGTTACTAATTGTTTGCTGTAGACAATACCATCGTCTTCAAGACATACTCTGTTTTCCCATTCAGTGTTGCAATTTCTTGATGCGATCTTTTGAGTGCATTCGATTAAATGAACTGCTTCCGTGGCATGTGCCGCCCATCGGATGCATGTAAATTTGTTCTGAGATTACTCCATCGGTAATAGGGGAAATTTGTACTGAGATTAGCCAACATAGAGCATTTAATTTTGAGGATGAGCGTGCATCATCCTCAAATGCTGTGTTGGACTCAAAAACTGCATTGGGGGCCGCGAGAGAGAGAGAGAGCGACTGGTTGTCTAATATCAGGTGTATTGTTCCTTCGTTGTTTTTACTGTTGCAAGCCTATTTAGTAAAGAAACAGGTAAAGAATATGTATTTTATTGCGATTAAATGGTGCAATATATGCGCTTACAAACTTGCTGATTCAGAGACATTTTATATAGTTACGATTGTTGCCTTAGGCATCAATCGAGTAACAACATGAAGCAAATTACCGAATAGAAGAATAAATTTCGTAATAGCAGCAATGAGAAATGTAGAGATGGGATAAATTACGCCATCAAGGAATTCAATGTTGCTCGTAGTTCCTGTAGCTATGGGTCGATGTCCTCTCAGTCTTCTGCTACGAGAACTGAGTCTGGGACACGAAGGTCTCCCCGGGGCTCCAGCTTGAGGGTACAACGCCTGAGAACTCCAGGGTCTTCCCGTCGCCGAGCGCGAGCCGGAACGACAGCCGCTGGTTCCGGTAGTCGGCGTTGGTCTGCCAGTTGGCGCCCCAGTTCCGCTGCATGGCGCTCCACGTCGACGCCCTCGAGCCCCTGATCCATGCAGCCTTCACGTCGCCGCTCCCCCCCACGTTGGAGAACATCACCAGGTTGAAGTTTCCCTGTCCTTTCAGCGTGAACCGCACTCCGCCTGACCTCTTGCAGGCCACCCTGGTACAGAAGCGGCAACAAAAGGAAGAGCTTTAGATGCGACGGTGAGTCTTGTCTGATCGCTGCACGGAGAAGGTGAGTCGGCGTACCTTCTGTAGAGGACTGGGACGATGCCTTCGCTGCCTACACGAGCGATGCGGGAGAAGGCGGGGAGAGACATGTCGAAGTGACGACGGGGCGGGTCGCACCAGCCACCGTTGTTGTTGGGAGGACAGAAGTTGGTGGCGGTGACGGTGACGGTGGCGTGGCCAAGGCACCACTGCGGGTCGGCGCCTGCGTCACAGGCGATCTCGAAGCACGCGCCGCAGGCCTCGCCCTGTCGGAACAGCGCGCCGCTCAAGGCTGCCGTGTTGATGCCGAAGCCGGCGTGGATGGTGTTGTCGTAACCACAAGCTCCTCCTGTGAAGCACGATCAAACATGCACACGGATGAGGTACAACGAGGCTCGAGTGCTTCAGCTAATCAGTGTCGTTAGAACTGAAACAGCCATACAAAGCTATGCCTCTTACCAAGCGAAGTAGGGTCTTGGTTGGCTCCGTAGAACGTGGCATGCCCCGGCAACCACTGAGCCTTGGCCACCGCCAGGCTTAGCATCGCGAAGAAGATGAGTGAGACCATCGTTCTCCGATCGCGAGAAAGACAAGTTTAACTATCACAGGAAGAGATATATGACTGCAGCTACTATGGCTTTGCGGTGAGGAGGCAAAGCAACGTTGGAGTCCGCTTTTATAGAGTAATGCAAGGGAGACGCGTCCGTCGTCGGTGGTGACATAATAAACGGAGGGATACAAATATATATTGTTGTTGCGGCGGTGCGGGAGATCGACGCGGTTGCGTTGCCTTCACCGAACTCGTCCTGTCAAGTACCAACATGGGCGGTACGGCTTGTCTGCCAACCGCCCGAGTGCCAACTGTTGCGACACATGCACGTAGAGCTTCCCCTAACACGCATGGATTCTGATGACGTCCCCTCCCCTCTCTCGGCCTACCACTTGACCGCTTGCGCATCTCTCTCAAAATTAGCATGGAAATAGAATATAAGATTAGGATTTTGTATGAAAGTTGATGCCGGGGGCGGGGGCGGCGGGGGGGCATCTGTTTAAGCCGTGACCACGGGGTCATCGCGGCTCGGTTCGGGGGTCCGAATGTTAGGGGTCTCGGGCGGCATCCCTCGGGGTCTTCCAGCGGCCGAGCACGATGGTTCGGGTCGGGACGTCGGGTCGGGAGGTCGGGTCGGTAGGTTGGGTCGGGAGGAAGCTCCGCCGTAGCACCGGGAAGGGACGACATCGTCTCGCACCTGCACACAGGTCGGCTGGGAGCTCGGCTCGACCCCTCCGACGATCAAGTTAGCGATGTGGAGAGGGTTTTGGAGGAAGAGATGCCTCCGGGTGCGTTATGCTTGTGTTCCTCCTCTATTCGTTTAGAACTCTAGGGTATTTATAAATGAGTTTGATGTTACCTGATGTGGCTGCTTGCAGGAGGCAGGCTGATAGCGTCTGACATGGGGTTGGCGTGGCATGAAGAACCAAGCCTGAGTTAGGTGTTAATACCGACTTACTCTGGCAGCGTGTTGTCCAAGCATGGCTGACGTCATGACGTGTCATATCGCTATTTTTACCCTTATCAAAAGTAATTGCATCCAAGACATCTAACACCTATCGACCACTGTAGCACACTTTTTGACGACAGTTGCATGTTAAGAAATAGATGCTCGAGGAAATTAATGGTCGGAACGGGAAGTGGAGATTAAGTGGATCACACCGTGTGGAGCCCCCTCATTCATGTCCATTGAAATGGAAGCACAAATAGCTGTAAGGCAGACGACCGCTGTTTCCTGCATGCGTTCTTCGTGGGGTCAAAATGGCAATGTCGTGAGAGCGCGGTCTACTCCGCCTTATTCGTTCGACTGCACTGTAGAACGTGGCCGTGTTTGCAGCCACCCGATATGACTTCCTCTGTGCCGGACGTTGTTCGATAGGGGAAAAGTCGTGACGGTGCACGCAAACACTCGTTGCAGTGGCCGAAAGGACATGGGCTTTGAATCGCCACCGAGCCATGCCTAATTTTTAGCTGGAAACAGAGGCATGTGAGGAACGGTCACTTGTTTGATTGAAAAAGGAACGATTCGGTAGATTGTATTTCCGATTACTATTTGTCTGTAATACGAAGAATTCAATTTGCTGCCTTGGTGAGGTTTTTATTATTATTATATTTGATATGATAAGAATATTTAATCTTATATTGATTGAGGAATAAAAGAATCAATTACTCGTAAGTCCGTCAAATCATATTTATCCTTAAAAATATATTTTAGAATTTACTAACTTCGAAAGGATAAAATCTACACTAAAATAAATAATTTTTCTTGAGATCAGCACGCCGAAGAGTTCTTTTATTTTTATTGTTTTTGGTATACGATTCAAAAAAGTAAGATAGGCAGCCTACATTGGTCTTTTAAGTCAGTCACTTGGAACCGCAAAAACAATTGAACTTAGTCTCGTGCCTGAGATTGAAGAATAGAGAATGAGGAGGAGAGAGAAAGTCAAACCCAATTTGGTCTTGAAGGATCCTCTATTTATAGTCAACCTACACTCAAAAGATGTAGCAGCTCGAGCATCATCCTTCTACCAAAGAGGACGGAAGATTCACCAACTAAACTCTTTGACGCATGGGAATTTGATGCTTCTCATCATCAATTTCACCTGAGTTGCCAGTGGGTGTTCACCTGAATGTTGCTCATCTTCCTTCAAAATTACAGAAATATATGACTTTGTCAAGATCCCAATCATAGATAGCAAAACTGGGCATCCATTTCTTCTGTGCATCCTCCGATGGCACAGCTAATTGTACATAGATGATGAACTAACCCAACCTGGGTTTTGAGATCCATTACTATTAATAATTTCAAACAACAAGCCAAAATAAGACATTTTAGGATCCATAGAGATCTTACAGCGAACATGGCACAGAGCTTATAGCTTACTGATTCTTGGAACAACATATGTAAACAAATAGAATGCATATTAGCAATGAAGTAACGATGAGTTTGAGTGAAATTGATCATATTACACAAATTCAACCAAAACCTAAGCTCCTAAGTTGTGAACCAAACCAATCCATAATGATATAGAACTAACCTCTTAGTCCTACAACAAATTCTAGTCAATTTCAGAACATCCTCCTAAAGTTACCACAAAGTTAAAACAAGACGGGAGCAAGCAATCTCCATTGAACTCCAAGTGGTAATAATTATAACCTCAAAACACAACGAGAACAAGAAGTATCAGTAATAGACATTTAAATTTCAACCGGTGCTTCTTATTCTTACAGCACCAGATTATATAACTTAAAAGAGTATATAAAATATATACACAGTACAACAGAGAGCTAGGCTACATGCACAAAACATATTCATTCACATTTCACAAGAATTTCTAACCTCCAAAATGATTTCTTAAAACAAGTCCGGATCCTTAAAGAGAGCACACTTACCTCTAGACAAACTTTTCAATAGATGCGACCAGGGTACTCTCTGGCACAGCTCCAATAACAGCATCTTTCTTCTCACCATTTTTGAAGATCATCATAGTTGGGATGCTTCGAATCCCATATTGAGTTGCAATGTCAGGGCTTTCATCAGTGTTGAGCTTATAGCACTTAAGCTTTCCTTCGTAAGCTTTTGCCAATTTGACAACGGTTGGCTCAATCATTCTACATGGCCCACACCATGGAGCCCAAAAGTCAATTAGAACCGGTACACTGGAGTCTAGTACAAGTGATTGCCATGTCGATTTTGTCACTTCTGGAACTGTAATGCAATGGCGAGAAAGTGCTTGGTTAAATGATAGAATTAGCAATTCATCAAATTTATTATCATGTAAAACCAACAGGAATCTGAAATAAGAAGCTCATTCTCATATTCATAGTAAAGTTTAGTCATGGTAAAGTTTAGTCACCCTGTACTAAAATATTGCCATGACAATAGAGATCTCTTATAAAAAAAATCCACTTGGACATACAAGTAGAAATCAAGTGTAAGTGGTTCTTCTTAAACTCAAACGAAGGTCTACACCTTTTAAATTGTAGTGGTATGTCGAACAATTAAATCACAGATAAAAAACACAATGCTTGGCAAATTTGGACATATGATGGTTCTTTAGGAATCTACTATGGTGGGTAAAAAATTGTTCTTATCAGGTTGTGGTTTAGGTTAATGTAACAAGAGGGCAATCCACCAAAATCTCAAAACTATAATTGTACAAAATACTGGCTTTCTTGTAGTAGATATTTACCCATGCCATTATCTTCTTTCCTCATAGTTCATAGCCTCTTTGTTTAGCTCTACTCATCTGAGCTTTGGTTTCTACGTAGTTCACTATTTCGTAGTAGCACAACTCTCCACCACCTATTCCTAGGATCACAATGTCACAATTGCAAGCCTTTCGAAGACCGGCAAGAAATTTGAAAACATGAAATAGTTACCCATGTCATTCTCTTCTTTCCTCATAGTTCCATAGCCTCTTTGTTTTGCTCTATCCATCTGAGCTTTGGTCTTCTACGTAGTTCACTATTTCAACCATGGCAGTAACAGAACCCCAATTAAACCCGTTGCGAGAGTCAAAGGCCCTGAACGCCCCTAGTAAAAGAAACTCTGTTGTGTCATGTTATTACGTGTCACTCTTGCTCCTCATGATCACATAACAGATCGTTCCAAAATTACTCAAATACCAAAATTTTGATATTTTCCTTCACTAGGTAACTAAACCTATTAAGATTCACATACAAACTTTCATGCAACTAAACTAGTAAGACAAGCATATAGATATGCAAGACAAGTACATGTTCCTGCTAACCTTTGAGTGCCACTCTCATTACTTAGATCTTACATGAGTGCCACATTCCTCAAACTCTTCCAAGTAAATAATAATGAGTACGAGTTACCTATGGAATTTCATAAATAAAGTTAAAAGCCTTACCTACTGGTTTATATTCTACAAAGTACTTGAATTTTTGCTGCATTGTTTTGTCAATTTTCATTATTGACCTTCCCTCTAATTTTGGAGATCTGGTATCAAATAATCGTGGCCCTGAGTTGGACTTCAGCAGCATTAAAGCCCACTAGGTCGTATTCCTTTACAAATGCTTTCCCTATGAAGCCATCTTCATAAAAAACACAAGGTCTTTGAATTTTGTTCTAACACAAAACTAAGATAGCATGCATGACCACAGTAACAATCAGAACTAGAAGCCTACTGACAAAATTAGCACCATTTAATGTCAGATTTTGATATCAATAAAAATACATTTTCAGATCTTGACATCATTATTGCAACCAGCCCTCGACATGCTTTTGAAATCATCAGAAGACATAATCCTCTCAACATTACTTGATGGTCTGAAAATGGGTCGCTATAAGACTTCCTCAAGCTTCTCATAAAATAGTACACGAGTTATCTCCAGATGGTACTTACATATTCTACTTGGCTTCACCTTTGTTCATTTTGGAAGAACCAAATGTCAAATTTTAGATGACATATGCGTAAAGTATTGTTACTTATAATTAGCCAGTCCAGATTCATCTTAGGATGATATCAAGGGCACAATCTGTAATGTTGAAGTAATCTATCTTCCACGATAAGAGGGAATCCTATAACAGATAAGAGGGATGGTCTTGTGCATTGAATATATGAACAAACACTGGAGTTGGCAGGACA